TGACTATTACATTAAAATATTAGCATTTATGATGAATGCAAGCATCAATTTGGGGCAAGATGTGCAGCTTGGCCATTCTACTAAGGTCCTGAAGTGACCGTCATGTCTGCTCCCCAAAACGATAGATGAATTTCCGAGGAAATGTAACATCAGGACAATGTATAAGGAGAAAGTAATACTTCCCTTAGTGATACCATCTTGCCAAGAGGTTTCAGACACCTCCAAATCAGGCCGCTATGAAGTTCAGTGTCTATATGGCAGAGTCTTTGTGAGGGAGCTCTGCCGACCCATACATAAGAGGTTATCTGATGATAACATAACCTGAAAAGAGTTGTGGGTCGAAAAGTCGCATCTGGCCGAGAACAGCCCACGAAGGGCACCAGGTAGACTGGTCTAAAGTCAAACGCTTAGCTAGATATGGAGATCATACCAGTATAGGAATGAGTATAGGAAATTCAACGAAAACTACTTGACAATAATGCAGAAGTATCTTATTTTCGTTTGAAGAAGCGAATGGAAGGGATTCGTAAGTTGACCTCACGGGAAGCTGTAGGGTGATTGCCTTGGAACTGTGACTGTATATGTGTGCGAATAGTTTCTCAGCCCTACGACCCCGATGAATCCTTACAGAGCCTTCGTCTGTCATGTGACGGACATCGTCAGATCAGGATGTCAGGCTTAACGATATCTCACCGAAACACGAAGGCAAGAATGGTGGCCGACTTCAAACCTAGATACTTCTTATAGTCAAAGTTGGTCCACCTAATTAAGCATCTCATGCTTTGGTTGGATATTCTATACTTTGCCTAAATGTTCGCTAAAAAGCAAAGTTGCTGCAGACATTTAGGCAAAGCATAGGATATCCAACCAAAACATAAGATGCCTAATTAAGTGGACCAATAAGAGTTAGGTATGTTTAAAGCCGGTAAACTTTTTTGTCTTCGTATCTTGGTAAATGATGGAAACCCAGTTTTTTTACAAGCCTATTTGAGACTGTTAGACAGAATTAGAGAAAGAGAGGCCTCAAATCTGGTTTTCACTTTCACACCCCACGCGTCTCACGAGCATTGCATGCACAAAGTCCAAGTACAATGGAAAGCAATCACATGCCATAACCTTGCAGGGTCAAAAATATAAGTAATTTAGGGGAGGATGCAGTTGTTCGGTCACAATTGCATCCACTTCAAATTTCAACAAGCTTTCTTCGGCTTCGTGTTTTGATGAGCTATCGTCAAACATTGTGTCATGCTCCAACGACTTCCGTCAAATGACAGACGAAAGCTCAGCAAGGATTAATCGGGACCTCAGGGCGGTGCGCCGATGACGTATTCGCACAAATCTGCAGTCACAGCTCCAAGGAAATCTCCATTTAGCTTCCTGTGGGGCCAACTTACGAATTCATTCAACTCGCCTCTTCAAACTCCAACATCAATATATTAAGGGCTTCTTTGAAACCCAGATTTTCTACATATGATATTATGAAATTACTTTCTATTTCGTAGGAAAGGTTGGTTGAAATGAATTGGTCGTAACGTCAAATGATATCAAAGAAGGATTCCAGCGGAGTGAAGCTTGTTGGATTTCGCAAAGAAATCCCTGGCAAATCGTCATATGACCTAAATGAACCTGTACTAAGTTTTCGTCTGTACTGGGCAGACGTTATTAGAGCTATCATCCATACTTTACGAAATAGTGCAACAAATATACTAAACCATGAAGAATGGTGGCACTCGCCATCCTTTTATACACATATCCTCTTGATTTTTATGAGGTATCCTAGGATTTGGTAGGCTACCTCAAACTTACTCCACATATTTGCAAATAAATCAAGTTAATTTATGAACTGAAATTGGATTCGGTGGTAGCTGATCCCTTACCTACATAAAGTAGCGAAGTACGAATCCCTTCCACTCGCCTCTTCAAACGAAATGAAAGGTACTCCAAAATCAGTCTATTAAGGGATTCTTCGAAACCCATTTTTTCTACAAAGTTGAATCTCTTTGCATTGCTCTAAATGTCAGGTTTTCGACTTTTTGTGCTCTCTTTTGTTCACATTATTTCTAGGAGTAAATTTTCTTAAGATATTTATTTATAAAGCAAACTTAACATTAATAGGAAGGGTTCAGTCTGATATAGGAGTCAAACTCTTATCAATGTGTACCAGGCAACCTAGGTTTGAAGAATAGGGCTGCGAATATCAACCTTAGAGGCATGACAAATTACTCACTCTTTATCTCCTCTGAACTTGGATTCTACTTTCGAGTTTGGTAGTCTTAATCAGTGACTATGCATTCCCTTCTTTAAGCTTGAAGTGGATGGTCTAATCTATACAAGAAAAGATATGATGGGTACACTCAAATGTGCAGGCCTATAACTAAGGCTTAGTTAAGTACAACCGATTAAATAATATGAGTTAGGCAAGAGGTTTTCGTCATGGATAAGGTGGATAAATGCTTCGAGGCTAGAGTAGGAGATAAAGCAAATTGCTCAGAAGATTTATTGAAATAAAATAAAATAAATAAAGTTATTAAGAATGGTAGATAGAGTGATACATAAGAAGGAACAAAGGGCAAACGAAAGAAATATCAGTATAAGGGTAGAAAAATTAAGGGAAAGAAACAGAGCAAGCTTTTTGCCAAGGTGAAAATATGAATTAATGATGTTATGCATAGATGGGCGAAAATTCTAAGAATATTATCAATAGCCATTAGGTTCGATGTTTATCCGACTATCGACGAATCCACCAGCCAAATGAATCCTTCCGTAATTGAATGAGGCATTGATAAATTTGTAAAGGGCAAAGTGCTTGGGAAAATTCTAAAACTCAAAGTTTTCTTGTGGCCTAGTTTATAAGTTTATTAACTGGTGGACTACTTTGCCTAATTCTTCTGCTTTTAAATCAATTCATAACATGCATTTGTAGAAGCCAAAATAAGACAAATAGCGCAAGAAATAGGAAGGGATTTAACGTCAGAAAACCACAATGAGCAAAGGTATGCAAGGAGAGTGGCATAACTATACAAAATGCTTGGGAGAGGGATGGTGAATAATTTTGATGGCCACTTCAGATGAAGCCGGACACCTGAGTTGTGGAAGCTTTATTATCTCTTTAAACCGTTCTTTAGGGTAAGTTATTAGATAGGGCATTTTGATAAAACGGTGAAAACTCATTTGCGAGCCACTGCTGCCGCCTTTCAATTATTCCTCTGTTCTATTCCTTTGCCCTTGTTTCTGCCTCAGGCAAAAATCCACTTACTCACCCTTTACTCTCTCCAACTAACTGCTAAATTGCTCTAAGCCCAAATATCCGATTTTCTATCCTTCTTCTTACCCTCTCTACACTAATAGTCTACCTCTTACCGTCTATTCTGCGGGTTTTCATAATTCTTTTTCATCTTCTCTTCTTGCATGCACCCAACGTTCATCTTTTACTTCAAATCCTCCGTAGCTGTGTATCTCTCTACTTATCAAACCTTGTCTGAATTTGGTTGGCTCCTACAATTATGCGACAAATCTGCTTTAGGACGACTCTCTTCTAGGCCCACCTTTGCTCGTATTTGGCTCTAGCTCCACCGAATTTTAATGCTAGTATATTAGGAAAACTCATTGTGATATTGCCTAGAATCTTAGTTCTTGTAACGGACTAGTTGATGCTTGTTGGTTTGAGACAGTACATGAAATAACCCCTGAAAGCTGACCATTTATTGGACTCATGCGTCGTTTATAAATCCCGTCTGTGAATTTCGACATCATTTTTGCTTTTATTACTTATATGTCGGTATCTGTTCATTTAGATTACATGAAAAAGCGTGGCCTGATCGACTGTGTAGCTCTTACGGCAATAATTAACAATTCCTTGTTTTTAAACGACCACTGCGTAATTTTCATGTTATACCCTCTACCTACACTTCTATATATTTTTTCCTCCCAGACACAATTATCAGTGTATGCATTTTGTTCTACATCACCCTGCAATGCTTGAGCAAGAATTCGATATCTGTGGAAAGGAGAAATCTCCTCCTGCTTATACACCTCAACAAGATTGCAGCAAGAATACGAGTTTAATATGCTCTCAAATCCAACATAAACCAAGTTATGTGGCATCACGGCTTCTTACCGAAGGGACAATACCACCCGATTCTACTCATTCACGTAGAAATATCGACTGTGATCAGCGACCAACTACCTCTGCCTTCAGCACTCGAATTGGTCTCACTAAAGGAGTAACCGAGCCACATCAAACTACTGAAAGCTTTTCATTTGCTCGTATGACCGGAGGGAATTTTTCAATGTGTACACCATTATCCACCAAGGCCCAGAATCTCCAAAATATTGACACTACTTTAGCGTGGAGAAATGATTCAGCTGCTAGGCAAAATTGTTTCTTTCATCTACCCCCTGCACAAGCACAGCAAGAACTAGTTTCTTCGGAACAAAATTCGTGTTTTATGGACCAACCTGAGCTTTCCTCGCATATAACTTCTAAAGCTACTACTTCTAACATCACAGACACTGCCAGAATTAACGTTAATAATGACAAAAGCAATAGCCTCTCATCGCTGGGCAGACTGAGCATTAACGCAAGAGAACGCCGTCGCATGCATGATCTTAACGATGCATTAGATGAATTAAGACGGGCCATTCCATACACAGGTTCTCTTGCCGCAGGGACTGCCGAGATGAGGTTACCTCTGCCGGACGACAACAGTGATGGCGGTTTCGACGATATCAATTGCCACAATAATGGTTTTGACACAGAAGGAGTCTTGGCAAGATCATCAAGTCCCTTGGCAGGCTTACGAAGGCGTTTCGCAACCTCTGAGATTGATAGCGTTGTTGGACCTCGGCGACTCTCAAAGATTGCCACACTACTGCTTGCTCGCAACTATATTCAAATGCAGGCAGATGCAATTGATGAGCTCCAAGGAATTCTCACTGGATTGATGGTGTTGGTCAACCAACTGATGATAAGATTAGAGACCACAAAGGCAACTGAGGGTGATGTCATTGCTGAGGCAACTAAACCTGGCCTAATTATGCTTTCCAGGGGCCAGACAAACGGCCATAATTGTGGTCCCAAGGCAAACGAACAACTAGAGGCGGCGTCCTATAGTGGAATTTGTGAAAGCCTGCATTTGGTCAAAAAACAGTCAAAATGGCGACTTGAGACAGACAAACGATTTGAACAAGTGAATCTAGTTACCCCGAGTGATATCAATGGGGTGAGCAGCTGTGGAAAGCCAGTTAATGCAATAGAGACAAGCAGAATTATAGAATTAGGACGATTGCCGCCTTCGATTTCCAGAGAGTTAATAGCTAGTTGTGATCAGTCGCAGAAGATAGAACAGCCAAAGACCTTTCAGATGAAAGCCCTAGATGGACGATTTTCTTCCAATGTCTGCGAAAATTGCGATGATGCTCAAATACCTGCA